CTGTAAGAGCGTAGAGGTAACCGGTTGCCTAGAGGTTGGATATTCTAGCACCCTTCGGCCCGGCCGCGCGCAACTTTAGCTGATTTTATTGTAGATTATGAAATAACTAGCAGCTGACCTATCTTCTGTGCGCAGTTACCAACTGACCACCGTGTAACTCGGCTAGCCATGTACCAAAGTCTATCGTATTTCGACCTTTAAAGGCTTCAAGCAGGCCGAAGAGGGACACAAGGTGCTAATAATACTCCTCGAAGCTCACGGAAAGGCCGAGACACCATGGTAGCGCAGCACTTGACGCAATTAACATTGTATGGTAGGCAACAGCAACTGCAACGGCAACAGACCCAAGGGCCTGGGTTCATTGAATTCAATGACATAAGGTAGTCTGTAATAAAAATCAGTAAAAGAAATAACGTCTCGGACCGACAGGTTCCCGAATAGTCAACTCACACTAGTGTCATCTTCTGCGGTAGCCGTCTGGCAATCCTCTGGGGAGTCGGCAAATACCGAAAGGATCTGTTATCCCCGTCGCGTACTCCTCCCCAGTCGGTAACCCGCGGCCAAAAAGCCTTAAAGTCCGCAAAGAAGACCATAGTCCGCGAGACTGTCATACAAAGACTGACGGCTCCGCACCCAGCACGTCCGCGGAAATCCGCCCATATACCATGGAGCTCTCAACGCCCAAAAAGGAAGGGACAAAGGTGACTACAGTACGAGCTGTGTATAATATCCGCCCGATATGCCACCCTTGTTACGGAGTGGAAGGGGGTAGAACCGAGAGTTTGGCCTGGGTAGAAGCAGCATCGTTCGGGACAGAAGGATCGGCATTCCCCGGGTGGGTTCCGCCCGTTCCGTTTCTCTCAACGCGGTGCCCTAGCCTACCTAGGTAGGGTCAATACGCGGCTGGCCAAATGGAGGCTCGGCGGCCACGAGGAGAGGGTGGGACCGCCGCACCGCCACGATGAGTCAGCGGAGCACGTTTGTACCCGAGTGTTTGGTACGGTAATGTCTATTGCATGTACGACGTTAAAGAGGGAGACTTCAATTGGTCATCTACCCGCCGAGTGATCTTCGAATCAAAATCAAGGTGCCATTCCACCAATTCCTGATGGCTGCAATCAATGAAGGTCTTGCGACTTTATCAACCACCGGAGTATTCTAACTCGTGACCCGGAAGCTCACTGAGCTCCTGAGCTCGGTCAACTCAACTCAGTGCTAGAAAGCGGGGACATGGATTGCGGTGCTATGGATTTTGCTTGCTATGGTAGAGTTGACGCTTCTAGCATCTCGACTGCTTCTCCCCGGATGACTGGCTGAGCGCCCTGTCTGAAGTCGGGTCAGAGACGGGATTAGTATGCGAGTCTATGTGCACCTGTTTTCTCACGCTGTAACACCGATGGCTTGGAGAGTAGTGTCATACGCGACGCCTCTGACGACGCTGAGTAATGGCTGTCAAGTTTCGATATAATTTGGCACCGATGGCAGCTTATTGTATGACGAGCAACACGCATGGTTGCCTTGATTCTTTTCTGACACCGCAGCAGATTGTATTGTCGAAGTTTTCTGCGAGTAGTACGGAACACGCCCTGCATATGGTACATCTGTCGTCATATAGGGAGGCGCAGTCTCCTTATAGAAATAGAGAAGAAGAATGATGCCCCAACAATAGCTGGCAAACAGTAGTAGTAAGGACGAGTCGTCGTTCACACGTCTCTCTAGGTTAACCCTTTAGAAAAACAGCCATTGCCAAGCCACTAAACAAGCCGCAAGTGGCTTGTCGAATCGCTTAGGTTCAGGTTACATTTCTATAGGCCCGCGAAGGGAGGGAGGCTGAATACAACTTTCATTTCTGACGGTCTCATTGGTGAATTCGCCCGGACGGGCTGGCAAGAATCGAACAGTCGGATCAGAATTGGCGTTGGGCTTTCTGATGGATGACACCCTGCGCGTGTTATCGAGAAACAAGAGCTAAAGACCTCTACTCGTGACGATACTGGACTATCCTGAATTAACCTGGATTGACCTGGACTGACCTGAACTAACCTAGACGAGTTCCAGCCGAGGCACTACAGAACGTGTATGAGAACGAGTTGACAAGCCTCTCTTCACTTCAGGCGGGTCCACAAAGCGACAATGCCCAACACAGCAGTTTGCCATGGAGATGCAGAGAGCCCAAGGACAACTCGGGCGTCGGCCTCGGGCGATCGGCCTCGGGCAGTCGGCCTCGGGCCATCCAGCAGTCAACCGTGGAGTTACCCACCTCATCAAGCCAATACATTACCGACGTCCTGACTACAACTCCTCATACGAGCGACCCGAAGCGGCACTCTGACTCAACGCCAGCGTATCCTCCAGAAACGGCTTTTTGATGGGAGGTGCTTGCTATTTTGCAACATCGACACGACCGTCTCGAGATCCGGGACCTGCCTGTCCGTGATCAGGACTTCCCAGTGTCGACTCTGCTTAGTGACTTGAGAATTGAATGGCGATAGCATCACGCCTGGACAATAGTTTGATTGGGTTTATATGAATATGTATAAGGCCTTAGTATTCCACTCTTAAGTCACTAAGCCGAGTCAGCACCCAAGAAATAGGAGGGCACGAAGAAAGATTGTGTGTATTTACGGAACCCTCCGCGTTATCTACCGGACCTTTTGCTCTTTGATTTTACTATATAAATGTTACTTCTAGTCCTGGCGCTATCCCCAAGTCATTACATGTCTGCGTTGTGAAAAAATCCAGCTCTGAATCATGCTCTCGCTGTTGTGTACATGAGCATAAAAGGCCGAGACCAATACTAGGCAATTAATTCACTTAACGCTTACAACCGAAATCGCGATCACATCTTGTAAGTGGGAACGCAGTTTACCAGACTCCAGGTTGCATCTGCAGCCCACGAGGCGACCAAGTACATCAGATACCCTTGACATAGGTACTCTTTACCATCAGCGCAAGAGGGCCGACGATAGACGAAACTGTGCACTGCAAGTTCAAAACAACTTTGCAGCCTCCGTTCGATCAGATATATCGAACGTACATTTTATAACAAACTCTTATACCGAATGAACATCCGAACATAGAATCTCATACACGTGCACACATCCGGCCGAGGTGCGCGGGATATATATGCACACCAGCGGTCTCGCCTCCCACCAACCATCGGGCAGCCAGCGCTCTAGCGAGGCGACCCACTCCACTCGGGCTTGTGGTTTAGTGGTATAATACTCCCTTAGCATGGGAGTGGTCCGGGGTTCGATTCCCCGCGAGTCCAGCGTCGGAGGTTCAATTCCTCCTATACCAGATTTTTTTTTTCTTTTTTTTCTCTCATTCTATATGTATCTTTTCCTCTTGTCTTTTTAATCCCATGATTTCATTGTCTTCCTTTTTTCCCTCCTTTCCCCCACGTTGGCTAGTTCTGCTCTGTATTTAAAATTAATGAATTTTAGCGGGGTTAGATAAGTAGTGCGTGCCGACGCAAGCGCAAGGGAAACAGGGCTCAGCGAAGCACAAACGCTTCCTCAATTTACTTCGTCACCACTGGGATAACAACACATCGGGCCCGAACAGTGAGGAGCATGTTTTGCTTATGTTTTTACTCTACATAAGCCGGCCATTTTCCAATATATGTCATATGTCTGGGGTGATGTTGCTGACCGGCCACAATTCGAATGGGGGAGCATGACAAATTTATACAGAGAACTTCAGGACTTAGTCAGACCTGGTACTTCCGAAGGCACTAAATGCCAGGCAGACGGGTCAAGAATGGGCGAACAATTGAAATCGCAAAATTCCGTTCATCTATTTTTATCGAACTGTGTTGACTAGATCATCCGTGCTACAGTTTTGCAACAAGTTGATAATTTGAATCGACATGCACGTGGGCAATTGCCCCGATCCTCCCACATGATGCGAACGCGCCAGACTTCGCGTTAAGGCATCGAATTCGTCGCAGATAATCGACGTCTTCCCAGGACTGGTCCTCCTCATCCCACATCTGCATTTGCTGAAAGTGACACATTGTCCTTTTTGCTGTCTATCAATCCCACTAATCTTTCGCTGCGGATGTGTTTCGGGTAGCTGGGATCGGTAGCCGGAAGGCTAGAGATCTTCAGACCTCCCTCGTTATAAATAAAATAGTTCGTACAACTATAATAGACTCGTTCTATGAACAGTCGGATTGTTTCGACCACGATTGTTACATGCAAGAGACCTTTACTAAAGAACTTTTTCGACGTACTACAAAGGTGGAAATTGTAAAGGATAATAGAAGTGGCGCGCGCATTGTTTACCACTTATCACGGTAGTACACCGGTAACATCAAGGCTGCTTTGGACGAGGTGGCAGGACAATATCAAGGGGAGCTTGACTTCGCTTGGGATCTAGCAATACGCTGTGTGCCTACGGAGTATAGCTGGCCATGTTGCCTAGGTCTCGAATAGCTGCCCACCCGTTCTTGAAAAGAAAATGAGCAGGCTATGATTTCATCCTTGTTCAGCGCAAGCCCGGTCTCAAAATTCAATCAAGAAATGACAACAAAAACCTCTACAAAACATGATGAGGGACAAGCGAAAATTCCCAATCAAAATCCTAGCCGCGAACCAGTTCTGGGAAAAAAGAAAAGCAAGCACAGAGTCTGCTACCGATTTCTCCCTGGCAAGATGAAAGAAAAAAGAAAGCTGACAAGAGTGGGATTCGAACCCACGCGGATTGCTCCAGAAGAATGCTGCCCGGTAAACGGGTAAAGGAGAACCCTTGAGTCTTCCGCCTTAACCACTCGGCCATCTTGCCCGTGTTTGATTGGAGTTGCAATCCGACCTCAGCGCACTGGCTAAGTAGTGCCGCCAAAACCTCCCCTCCCCGGCTGCATGAAAATTTTACGCCACTGGAGAGCAAGTGCAGCGAAGCGCAGCGCTGTGGAGCCTATAAAAAAAAAATTCGGAAAAGTGCAAATCGGGAAATACTATCGGATTTAACCGGTGCTAAAAATAGCAAAAGATTAACTCCGAATCAGGGAATCGAACCCTGGGCAGGGCGGATCCACCTTGAGAGCGCCCCATGTTAACCACTACACCAATTCGGATGCCTTGTCTGTTTGTTGGAAAGCTGTACGCCAAACGTCGAACATGAGGAACTCGCTCGTTGTGACTTGGTCTGTCTGGCTGTGTGTGGTAGGCGTGTAGGTATGGAAGTCGCGGGACTGGGAGGTAGGTATAGGGATCATTGTGGGCAGGTGGGCGGTTTATGGGAACAGCAGCCGCGTCCCGCTTCTAGGCCAAACCTTCTAGTTCAAGCCCCCCTGAGTGGATGGTTAGTCACCCACGTTGAGACTTCGAGGAGTCGTGCCTCAACTCTGTGCATTTAACCCATTGCTAGATTCAGATGTTATACCTCATCCCAATTAAAACAGAGCTCTAATTAGGGGCCCACCACTTGTAGATGAGATAGGCATTCTAAGGTTCATCTACTTAACTTACATATACGCACCCCCAACAGGGTTAAATATACAATGCTATTGATCTGTTACCTTGATAGGCACTTTATTAACACATCTCATGTGTCTCTTCTTACTTTAGCCTACCTAATAAGTTTGAGTAGCTTAAGTAAGTACCTAGCTGTTCTCAGAATTCAATATTTGCCAAAGATGGACCTGTCTTACCTTCTTCATGCTCTGCACCAGGGACATGCAAGCAACTAGCAGAGTAAGGCCAAGACGGAGACAGAGATGGAGTGTGCGTGCGTACAGTCGGCTTTCAGATCAAATATTGTCACCGTACTGAGGCGCGTATTGAGAACGGGTACCTGCATCTTACCTACCTGCCTTACCTTGGCCTTACTTACATACAAGTACTAAATCAATGACTTAAGGTCACAAAATTGCCTAATACCGTAATCCATCTAAGTACTTTCTTGCTCTTGCAACTCAACCTCCTATCAGCTAGGCTTAGGTAGGTTAAGTACTTACTATGCTCATTAGCTTACAAGTGTTGCTTGTCTATGCTTCAGTATTTCTACATGTATGTATGCTTGCCCCTTTTCTTGAAGGCAATCAGTAAACGCCAGTCCTAAGATTGCTAACAGCGATCAGCGTTTCATCTGTGTTCACAGTACATCAACACCACCGCCATGTACCAGCTTCATGGTTTTTCATAATCGCACTAGAAGTTAGTTCTCAGTGACACTTTTCATACTTAGCGAGAGTTAGAAAATATATAAGCAGTTATATGATTGAGAAAAACTCAGAATAAAACTTAGAAAGTCTTGTGTTGAAATGTCATCATTTAACTTTGCCACATGATTACCATATCTAATCTAAGTAAACAATGTATACATATAAAGAAGTGTTTAATCTTGATAATTAACATAGAGCTCGTATAATGACCAGGGAAATTTTTTTTTTTTTTTTTTCATAAGCTCAGGTGAACGGGATTATATTTGCTAGTAAATAGTAGACGTACGTAGGACATGCATGTATCAGTACACAGAACGGCAAGCACAAATAATGCTGTGTATAATATTGGGGGGAACTAAGTCCATTTCACAGTCTCAGTTTGGAGCACAAGTCTCGTGATGAGTCTAGTTTCACACACCGATCGCACAAACCCTTGGTTCCTCGTTTAATATAGCCAGAAAATGGTCAGGATGTGGCAGACCCCTCTTGTTGTGATGGGATTTGAATTAACGCCAAGAGCAGGAGAAGTAGAACCTCGAGGCTGATTTGGCGGTGATGAAGCAATGTGGACGAGGTGCGGTCAGGAGAAATACAGGCATCTAGCATCTAATAATATATCAGCAAAGATATGAAAATGCTCACTACTAGTTGCCCCAGCATCCAAGCCAAGATAGCCGTCGATCAGGGTTGCCGGTGGGCCAGGCGGCTATCTGCATGGCATCCAGCCTGAGACCCCGCGCCATCACACGTGCAACATTAAGCGGATATTGATCTAGGTAGGCAAGTATTCTCAAGTAAATACAGCACATGATTAGCGGGATATGTATACGTATCGCCCTCAGGTCCCCGGCGCAAGACTTGCTTCACCCGCTCATGGCCAAGAGGGGCCTGGTAGGATGTATCAAACGGCGTTGAAGCCGCTACCCGGGCGAGATCCGTCTGCAGATGACGTAGCGCACTGCAACCATGCATGCCTCCTCAGCAGGGAGCTAAGGCGTCGGAATCTGTATATATAATCTCGGATATCTAGATCGAAGATGAGATGACGGATCCCAGCGTGCCCTGGGGTTCTGTCGTCGGGGGCTGCCGACCCATGCATTACTACCCAACCTAGGTTTGGTATACCTGCTCTCTTCTCGAGAGGAGGTTCCCCCTTCTCATGTCAAAACAGAATATTGTTCGCACAAACCCAATCGGCCCTAGGAAAGCGCGTTGCCAACAGCCATCAAACGAGTTGATTATCGAAGCCTGCGAGACTCTTACGCCTGTGATACCCCGCATGCGTGGTCTCTGGCAAGCTCAAGCGGGGTTGTAGCCGTGCGACGACTTCAAAGTCGTACCTCCGAATCGTGAGAGTCGAGCGATTCGGATTAATGTCCCATGCGGATTTGGCAGGTTTGTCAAATGCAACGACCGCAGACGTTTTTGACCGAGCCCGCGGCCATGGCCGTAACTAGTATGATTGCTTTTCCGACCATTCTATTCCAGGGCGTGCGAGGCGGCGGCGAATATCAGAAACACGCCGGGTTGCTCTCGGTCAGGGTCATATACCCAGGTAGCCTTTTCAAGCCGACTGTTAAGGCGAGGAGACGAGGGGGTTCGTGGCCTGGATAGGTGTGGGATCCGGCTGATCTCGTCGCTAGGGGCCTCACTTCTTATAATCACATGCAGTTGTTTTCGGTATACTTACCTACACGTGTACCAGCGGACACCACCCTGGCGTCGGGGCGAAAACGACCCTATCCTCGCCTGGGCTAGCAATGGCACCCTGGGGCCAATGTGCGTAATACAGGCTCCTCGAGGTGAATTTGAGTCAAAGGTACCACCTGGGCGACCGGTCGCCTCCATCATTCGTCAAATTTGTACATAGTTACCAAGCCTGGACCTGGTACAGTTAATCAAGCTATGACTCCACGTACGTCAGTTCACGCATCCGGCGTGATCAGCTAGATCTGGTCGCGGGGATGCTGTATTGGTGCTGCCAGGAGATAAACTAGAAGAAGACGACAAGGAACAAGAAGGGGAAGGAGAATCGCCATATTGACCAAGGTAGGAGGGGGGGAAGGCTACGTGAGACCCAACCGTGGTAACTTGTAAGTCAAAGTTGGTAGTCCAAACAGCTCAAGTAGTAATAGCAGAGCCCTGCCCAAGTGCCGACTTACCTTATGCATGAGGTTGGACAGAGCCGTGTTGTCAGGTAGGTATCTCCGTCTTCTATGCAGGGTAGCAAACGGGGAAGCGATGTCGTGTGTAAGGTACTCACGTTCGCTAAGTGTGCCCATTTCCGGCCATATGAGTTCAAGCGGTACTTATTGGATGGTAGTGATCCGAAGAGGCCATGAAACAGTCGGGATATCCCGTCACCTACAGTTGATGGGCGGCGTTGACTCTCGTATATGCAAATCCGCTGACAGTCGGGTCTATTTAATGATACCGACTCCCTTCTACATTCCAGGGGTTTCCGGCCTCGCAGGGTTAGCTAATAAGGCACTGGATACCTATTGTGTATGATGGTAAGGTATATGCTACCTATGGCCAGAACATTGGATGGCCCTGATTTTGGTCGTTTGTTGCCAAAAGGGGGAATGATGAACTTAGATAGGTGATGGTAGGCGTGTGGAGGAAGCCAGAAAACTTAGCATGACAACCTTGACTGCTCGGCAACTCGAAGTCCACCTCCTAGAGTCAATACTGGCAGCGCCAATGCCCCTTCTGGCTTTTGTGGGTAGGTACAAAGTAGGTATCTGAGTACAGCCCAGTAGTACCTCATACTTGAAATACGCCTGGTCTACTTGTTGTATGTACTTTGTTCACGTATGTTACCAGTTGCCACATGTACCTTCAATGTTGAGTAAGACCTCAGAGAGTTAGGAATACACGCAGTACCTCTGTCTGCGGTGTGGTTGGGTACATGTACCTACCTGGTGCTATGTTAGGTACAACAGGTTAGGTAAATTTTCGGTTCAGAGACACACATTTCCTAGGTACTTGAAGTAAGTATAGTACATACAGGTACGTATATGCCATGGAACCGACGAGACCATCTCTATGGTACACCCAGTTCTCATGGCCTTCTGTCATGTCCACCATCTTCGTCTATATCCACATACCATCCACATCCTGCCCCCTCGCTCCCTCGCTCCTCTTATCCTCTATCCCTGCAGCCCGCAAACTCCCCCTCCCCCTCCCCACCAAATCCAACCAGCCAAGTTTTGGTGGTAGTCTGATGTTGGGAGCCCTTCCTCTTACTCTTTCTTTCACACATCCATCTGCCATCCGTATCTGTGCCAACCTCCCTCCCAATTTCATTTTTCCTCTGTTCATTTCTAGGCTGGAATGGTGACAATATCCATATACGATCAACGATCAACGACCAACGATCAACGACCAACGACCATTTTGGCCATTGCTGTGCGATCTGCCACCAGTTCTTGTTCTTGCACTCTTCCAAACCGCCACTTGATAGACCCTACCTACTACCTGGTAGGTACATAGGTACTTAGGTTAGGTACCTAAGGTACTTAGTTCCTTGCCTCTAAATCTGCTGAGTTCAAGGTTAGCTTGGAGGTAGGTCCCACACCCAGAGACGGACCCCTCCAATACCTCTTTGCCCTGCAGACACACGGGCAGCACACGCCCGTAGATATGCTCTTCTATCCATCCATCCATGTACATGGCCATATTCCAGATTCTGCACCATACAGACCTTTTACACCACACAGGCCACACATCACACATCACGATATAAGCTTGACAAGCAAAGCAGTGCGAATACACAGCTAAAACAGAAGAACGTAAACGAAACATAGCTCATACTAGATTACAGGTCTTGCGATACTACGGAAGGGATTCTCCTGATCCCACGGCTAGAATCCATGCGCCCTACTGTTGCGACGTCGCCCACTTGAACC